GGGGTATTTAGTCTCTCATAGTTGAGGTCTAACTATATAGTCAATTACAGGCCTCTTTCATTGTTTTAGGTGGGAGAACTTGAACTACTGGTGCTGACAAAATACATTTTTGCTGAGTTAATATTGACAAAATCTTTGTGTGAGGGCAGAGGAAAGAATTTTTTCTACAGAGGCAGATTGTTGACGTTAGTGACAATAAAAGTTTTACGTTGTCCCCACTGTCTCTGAAAGTGAAGCACTGCCAAATTTACAAGTTGCTGTACACTTTCTCCTAGTTGTTGTTGTTTTACAATGAAATTATTTATGAATAACGTAGCCAATTTTTATTCTTAAAATTTTGAAGACATCTTTTACCGCTCCCAGAGAACAATGGTTCACTTTCCTGGAGTGCTGCGTGCGAGTGAAGAAAGTGGGGATGGGTGATAGTCGGTAACAAAAATGCATAAATAGAAAACAAGTCAGGTTTGGATTTAAATCAGTAGCTACATTTTAAATCCAATTAAAGAGGAATGTTGACCAATAAAATGGACAACATTCTGGCTGTTTAGTGATATTTCCACAGTTGTGGTCTTGACTGGTCTTGAAATAAAATTCCGAGTCCTCAGTGTTCGAGACCGAGACAAGACCGAGTACAAATGCTGTTGAGTCATAGACAAGACCAAGACCATCAAAACTGGTCTTGAGACTGGTCTTAAGACCAAGACTGGTTTCAAGTACTACAACACTAAGTTTTCTGTTTTCTTCACCAATCGCATTCATTTTTGCACAATTACTACTTAACATTTGATTTTACATACTACGACAAAATAGGAAGAGTATCAAAGGATGAATATCCTGATGCATCTCAGTAATCCAGGTAAAAAATTAAAAAGAAAAAAATTGTGTAGGTCTTCTGGATGGGTTCTTCTTTAATGAAACATTTCGTGTCTTCTCCAAGAGACTAAGACACTGTGGACTCTGTACCACAGAGCAGACAGTGTCCCTACAAACCCAGGAGCCAGGGAAAAAGAGAAATCACACACACGACAGGCCCTGGAGCAGTGTGGT